CTCTATAGTAGCCATAATCCTTTACATTTCCTTCCCCCGGCTGTACTGATGCAAGTTGCTATGTTAGTCCACACTGTGAAGACTGGCAAAAATATTTTCGGTTGCACTTAGGATAATGGGGGAGTGGGGTGAGGGGGGTCTGCAGTTTGGAACGTACAAATTAAATAAAAGGTTTATATATAACGAATCTGGTAAATAAGGCCTTCAATAACCCCTCCCCCGATTCTGCAATTCATATAAACTGCCGGAAGGAAGTTAAAGTTTCCAGCAAAATGATTTTCACATAATCTGATTTATAAAAAGCTAGGTGTTTACAGGTTTCCAGGTATGAATGTGTGTCTATATATATATATTCATATGATCTCGTGTCTGCTATTTCATTATTACCTGTATGACCCCGGGGGTAACTACAGGGGGTGCAGAGAGGGCAATTATCCCTGATCCCATGGGGACACCAGATCCCTAAATCACGGCTGAAATATCGGAGTTAGAAAACTGCAACAATACGGTCCACATACCTGAAGACCTCAACAAACCAAATCACCTTAACAAGTCACAATGTCAGATCGGGAAATGTTTCCATATATATATAAAAAATATATAAGGAGACCCGAGTATTGACAACCCTGGGGCCCAACCTGCGGCCACATATCTGTCCCTTGGCATTTATTGTGTGGAGGTTCGGGGCCCATTAAGACCGTGGTCTGTGTTCACAGTCTCCTGTAGCATGTCTGCAGTCTCTAACCATCTCTGTGCCCAGGAATAGGAAGTCTTTCCATGGACTGGATGCTCACTCTTACGCTTATCCCTAGCTTGATGACATTCCGTTTAGACAAGAAAAATTACAGTAAAAATGGAAAAAAATGGAAATTGTATCAGAGTTTTAGGAGGATGAAATCAGGAGATTCTCCATAGAAGCATCCAACTCCATTATTTGACCTTCCAGAACTGAGGACAACAGTTCTGAGCATGGATGAGACTTCAACTGCTGTGATCTACCGACATTATATATATGACTCCTCCCCCTATCTATCAGTCAGGGCTTGGCCATCCCAGGCCATGAGGTCATGGGGTACAATAATGATACCTCTGCATTACATTCTGCATAGAGTAAAGCTGATCTTCCCTTTCTCCTTCTTCTCTTCCTCCATCTCCTTTTTCTTCCCCTTCCTCTCCTTTTCATTCTCCTCCTACTCCTCCTACTTCTCCTTCTTCTTTTCTTCCTACATCTCATTCTTTTTCTTTTCCTCCATCTCCTCCTTCTTCTTTTCCTTCTCCATCTCCTTCCATCTCCTACTTCTTCTCTTTTTCCTTCTTCTCCATCTACTTCTTCTTTTTCCTCTTCTTCTCCTTCTCCTACATCCCCTATTTCTTCTTCTCTTCCTCCGTCTCATAAAAGCTGCGGCCTTGTATGGGATGTAGATGTGGGAAGGAAGGAAAGCTGTGGGGGTGTAGTACAGAGCTGGAGAACATGAAGTGTGCAGATTGAAGAGATGCTGGACAATGGAGTGGTCAGCTGTAGGAGCAGAAACATCTTCCCTGGGGTGGTGGTGTGAAGCTTCTGGCCAGCAGGTCTTGGATACTAATGGACCTTGGCAATGGCGAAGTGTCTACAACCAGTAAAGTGTGGCGTCGTAGGGAGAGGGTGAACAGTAGGGTTAGGGTTAACCCTAAGGTGCACATAGAGTGTAAAGGAGACTATGTTGGATCAGCGCCCCCTTCCGTCACCCGTGCCAGGGGAACTTGCCTGTCGGGCTCAGGTAGGCCTCCTGGAAGGACTAGAAGCCTAGGAGCTCAGCTCAGACCATCAGGAGGACTGCTGTTGGTGCGTTATTGCTGCTGTTAGTCTACCCCCCTCCTCCGATCCCCTTTCAGGACCAATGTACCCCGAGCATGAAATGCCAACTACTCCCAGAGACAGAAGATGTGTAAAGAGTCTAAAGGAATGAAGTGTGAGTAATCATCGCACGTCTCTG